AATGATTTAAACTTAAACAGATGGCATGGTCACAATTTTTTTTTTTTACATAGCTTATACAAATATCAGATACGTGGTTAAGAGCAAGGGAGAAGGATGTAGAACGCTAGAAGAGATAATTGGATTATTCAGGAAGGCAGCAAAGTAGCAAATTGAATTCAATCCCAATAACAGAGATGTGGGCATTTGGCAAGGATAAACAAGGTAAGGCAGTACACTTATGGACCAGGTCATACAGTCATACAGTCATACAGTCATACAGTCCCTTCGGTCTACATAGTCCATGTCGAACATAATCCCAAACTAAACTAGTCTCACCTGCCTGTTCCTGGCCCATATCCCTCCAAACCGTTCCTATTGATATATCCATCCAAATGTCTTTTAAATATAGTAATTGTACTCGCATCCGCCACTTCCTCAGGAAGTTCATTCTACAAGCGAACCACCCACTGTGTTAAACATTTGCCTCTTATGTCTTTCTTAAATCTCTCTCCTCTCAACTTAAAAATGTGCCCCCTAGTTTTGAAATTCCTCATCTTAGGGAAAAGACGTGGTGCAATGAAAACAATCTGTCTCTCAATGACGGCAAAACTAAAGAACTGATCATCAACTTCAGAAAGAAGGGAGAAGAACACGCCCCACCCCCCACCCACCAATCTACATCAACGGAACTGAAGTTGAGAGGGCGAAGAGCATCAAGGTCCTTGGAGTGATGATAACCAACGACCTGTCCTGAATTTCCCACACAGATGTGATGGTCAGGAAGGCACAATAACACCTCTTCTTCCTCAGGCAGCTCAGATAAGTTGGCACATCCATAAGGTCCCTCACCAACTTCTACAGATGCACCACTGAAAGCATACTGTCCAGGTGCATAACAGCCTGGTACGGCGACTGCTCTGCCCAGGACCGTAAAAAAACTACAGGTGGTGGTGTGCACAGCCCAGACGTTCACAGAAGGCAACCTTCCATTCTTGGACTCTATTTACATGGCTCACTGCCACAGAAAAGCGGCCAACATTAAAGACCCATCACACCCTGATAATGACCCCCCTTACAACCTCTTCTGTCAGGTAGAAGATACAGAAGCCTGGACACACACATGAGCAGATTCAGCAACAGCTTCTTTCCGGCCGTTATCAGACTGCTGAATGGACTCTAGTCTTAAATAATGCAACTTGCAATGAAACCTATATGCCTCTAAGTCTTTTTGATCTGCATATCCTTTGCTTGCTGTGATCTGCCTGTACTGCTTGCAAACAAAGCTTTTCATTGCATTTTGGTACATTTGACAATAAAAATCAAAAATCAATCAAGACAACTACCATCAACTCTATCTAAAGCTCTCATTATTTTATAAACTTCTATCAGATCACCTCTCAACCTCCTACACTCCAGCAAAGAGAGTCCCAGTCTATCCAGCCTTTCCGTTTAACTCAAACCTTCCATGCCCAGTAACATCCTGGTAAATCTCTTCTGAACTCTCTCCAGCTTGCTAATATCCTTCCAAAAACTAGGCAAACAGAACTGGACACAGTAATCCACCAATGTCCTATACAACCTCAACATAACATCCCAACTCCTATACTTAAAGGACTGAGCAATAAAGGCAAGCGTGCCAAACACCTTTTTAACCTTGAACACAAACAGAACTTGCTGGAAAAAGCTCAGCAGGTCTGGCAGTATTCTGAGAAGAAAAAAGTCAAAGTTAACGTTTCAGGTCCTCTGACTCTCAGGTTCTGTTTTTGTTCCTGATTTACAGCATCCGCAGTCCTTTCAGACCTTTTTAACCTTCCTATCTATATGTCAAACCCAATCATCTCATTTATCTATTCTGCCACAAAAACAAACAAAGAATACTATACTACAGGAACAGGCCCTTTGACCCACCATGGCATCTTTCTTTCAAAACTAAAAAGCTTTTGCCACCGTGCAGACCTCTCTCTATTCTCTGCCTATTCGTCTATCTGTCAAAATACCCCTTAAATGTTGGTTTTGTTTCTGCTTTTACCACCTCCTCTGGACAATGTATTCCAGGCACTTATCACCCTCTGTATAAACAAAAAAAATTGCATCTCACATCTCCTTTAAACTTTCCCCGTTTTTACCTCCAGAAATGCACCACCGTCTGCATGGAAAAGTTGCCCTGTAGATTTAAAAGGGACATTTCTCCTCTCATCTTAAACCTATGTCCTCTAGTTCGGACTCCCCCACCCCAGGGAAAAGATCCAGGCTATTCACCCTACCCATGCCCCTCATGATTTTATAAAGCTCTAAAAGGTCACTCCTCAGCCTCCGATGCTCCAGGGAAAATAGCTTCAGCCTATTTAGCCTCTTCATACAACTCAAGCCCTCCATCCGGGCAACATCCTTGTAAATCTTTTCTGAACCCTTTCAAGTTTCACAACATCCTCCCAATAGCAGGGAGACCAGAATTGAAGGCAGTATTCCAAAACTGGCCTAACCAATGTCCTGTACAGCCACAACATGACCTCTCAACTCCTATACTCAATGTACCGACCAATAAAGGCAAACATACCAAATGCCTTCTTCACTATCCTATCAACCTGTGACTCCAGTTTCAAGAAACTATGAACTTGCACTCCAAGGTCTCTTTGTTCAACGACACTCCCCAGGACCTTACCATTAAGTGTATAAGTCCGGCCCTGATTTGCTTTTCCAAGTTGCAACACCTCACATTTATCTAAATTAAATGCCACTCCTCGGCCTATTGGCTCATCTGATTGAGATCCCATTGTAGTCTGAAGTAACCTTCTTTGCTGTACACTACACCTCCAATTTTGGCGTCATCTGCAAACTTACTAACCATACCACCTATGTTCACATCCAAATCATTTATATAAAATGATGAAAAGCAGTGAACCCAACACCAGTCCTTGTGGCATGCTGTTGGCCACAGGTCTCCAGTCTGAAAACGACCCACCATCACCACCCTCTGTCTTTGTTTGTGTACCAGAAGTTACAGATGTTAGAACATAGAACAATACAGCACAGTGCAGGCCGTTCAGTCCACTATGTTGTGCCAAACTTTTTACCCTAAACCTAAGGTCTATCTAACCTCCATCCCTACCTTATACTATCATCCATATGCCTATCTAATAGCCGCTTAAATGCCCCTAATGAGGCTGACTCCACTACCCTCTCTGGTAATGCATTCCACGTCCCGACCACTCTCCGATTAAAGAACCTACCTCTGACGTCTCCCCTATATCTACCTCTACTCACTTTAAAACTATGCCCCCTCGTAATAGCTACCTCCACCCTAGGAAAAAGTCTCTGGCTGTCCACTCTATCTATACCTCTGATCATTTTGTTCACCTTATTCTTTCTGTCTATAAAGAACATGCACATATAATGTACCTTTTTCAACTCCATAAAATAGGTGACATCAATTGTTTTTATTTGTTGCTCAGGGCAATGCCTTGACCAGGTGTGCCTCCATCTCACATCTGCTGGGTTTGAACACCCCAATTCCAAGTTATACTGCCTCAAACCAGTGCTCACTTAAGACAGCAAATCCTTGAATGTGTATCAAGCTGACCTAGTACACGCATGCTGTCAGATTCCAAATGAGTTGATTCACTGATTTTCACTGAATATTCAGAGAGTATCTGGCAGTGTTGCAAGGCCTTAAAGGCAACCTGGATATACATTTCATTAATTTCACCAAAGGGGCTGGAAGAGTCATCCTTAGCAAGCATGATTATATCAACGTCATTCTTAATCACAGGTCCGAATTTGTATCCATTGGACATTCCACAAAGCATACCTAGACAGCCTTACATAAAAAGCAAGCAGAAAAGCAACGAATGGATCGGTGTCTGAGAGTGAGCTGCCAGGTGATATGTACAAGGGGGTTCTTCCTCATGGCTCACTGAGACACTTATGTACAGGCTCTCTCAGACACACCAAAGTGACATCCCTTTATATCTTATCTCTAACCAGTTCTGCATAACATGAACTGGCCAAATGGTGGGGAATTGTGACAACTAATATTGAGCAAGCTGTCCATTTACACAATCTTGCACAATTTACATTTGCAAAGACTGAACAAGATATTCATATAGATAGAAATGTGGTATTTTGGATCTCCATCTTGGATTACCTCATCTTAGATATTAAATACCTCCACCAGTAACATGCACTACAGCAACTTGCCAAAGATCATTCAACAATACCTTCAAAACTCATAACTACTGTGAGCTAGATAAATACAGGCAGTGTTCAAGTGCATGGGAACAACACCATTGGAAAGAACTTCTCCCCCAACACACAAACTCATCCTAACTGAGAACTAGAAGACTATTCCCTCATTCTCAGTGAGTCAAAATCATAGAACTCACTTTCCTACAGCACTGTAGCTGTACCTACTCCATCATGGAGTGCAGAGATTCAAGCCAGTGACTTCCTGTCACAATCTCATGGACAATTTAGGAATGGGAAATAAAATGTTGGTCTTGCCCATGATCCTAACTTCTCATTAGAAGATTTTTTTTCTGATCATTAAAGTAATGTATTGTATTTTAAGTATAAAATTATAAAACTAATGCATTATAAAATTAATTTATTTGCTTTGTGTATAGTATTAAGAAGTGGAATGAAACCAGACCTGGCACTGAACTAGAAAAGCCACACACAGCCCTATCAACCCTCCAAGGTTCTCCATACTAAGATTTGAGGTCTGATACCAAAATTGAGAGAGCTGTCCCAGACTAGTCAAGCAATAGTCTGACAGTCATGCTCTCAGAATTATAGAAATAGGAGCAGGAGTAGGCCATTCAGCTCTTCAAGCTTGCTCCACCATTCACCATGACATAGTTGATCATCCAACTCAACAGTCTGTTCCTGCTTTTTCACCATATCCTTTGATCCCTTTAACCCCAAGTGCTGTATGCAACTCCTTGAAAATATTCAATGTTTTGGCCTCAATAGCTTTTGGAGGCAGAGAATTTCACAGGTTCACCACTCAACTAAGAAATTTCTCCTCAACTTCATTGTAAATGACATAACCCTTACCCACTGGAACACTGGTTCTAGACTCCCCAGTCATCAGGAATATACTTCCTGCATTTACCCTATGTAGTCCTGTTAGAATTTTATATGTTTTTATGAGATCCCTTCTTATTCTTCTAAACCCTAGTAAATACAGACCTAAAACAAAAGATTCTAAACTGGGTTTGCTGCAGGTGGTGAGGGAACCAACAAAAGGGAAAAGCATATATGACCTCATCCTCACCAATCTGCCCATCACAAATGCATGTTTCCATGGCAGTGTCAGTCAGAATGACAACCATACAGTCCCTGCAGAGACAAAATCACACCTTCACATTGAGGATGTCCTTCATGTCGTTTAGCACTACCCACCATGCTAAATGGGATAAATTTCAAACAAATCTAGCACCTCAAGGCTGAGCATTCATGGAGTACTGTGAGGCATCAGCAGCAACAACCTAGAATATCCCTCCCATTCAACCATTACCATTAAGCCAAGGGATCACAAGTTCAATAAAGAGTGCAGGGAAGCATGACAGGAACAGCACCAGGCATACCTGGAAATGAGGTGACAGCCTAGTGAAGCTACAGAACAGGGTCTACTAGGTCATAGGGAGGGAGGTCAGAGTGGAGGGAAGGTTAGAAGGAGAAGAAGGAGATGAAGGGAAGGGGAGGGGAAGGGAGGGATCGGGGGGGGGGGGGGAGGGGGGGGGGGGGGGGGGGGGGGGGGGGGGGGGGGGGGGGGGGGGGGAAGATTCTGACAGGAGGCGGTGTCAGATGAGTGTGACTGACAACCACATCCTCCAATCACTCCACACGAAGCTCTAACGTACCACCAATCAGCTGGAGGTAGACATGTCAGTTACCATGGTATTTGCGATAAGGAATATCCGCCGTAAAATGGTTTAAGTCGAATTTGGAAGTCATGGTTTTCGTTTTAGAAACAAATATACAGAGTTTCACATGTAGTAAAAATACCAATACCTTCGCGGTTTTGGAATCCATATTCAGACTGTACTTTTTTAAATGATCACCGTCCGTTTAACAGTAGGAGAGGCGGGCGTCCTTTCGCGCCATCGGGTTAAGGTTCGATTACCCAGGCTCCTTTGGGCTATCTCCGCCCACAGCGTTAGCTGCCTCAAATTCACAGAATAAAGTAAGCGCAAAGGTTTAATACTTGTCCGCTGTCAGAGTTATTGAAGGATTTGTCCTTTTGTCCATTTTTGACTGAAATAAAAATCAAAAGTGGATGAACATGTGCCTGGTTCCTTTTATGTTGCGTTCTTCCACTTCCATCCTTTGCACCCGATCACTTTTTGTTAACTTAATCCCACCTGATTGCATACTTTTACCTACTGCTTTTTCCCTTACCGTTCCCCCTTCACCTTAAAAAGTACTGCTGCATTTCTAGCTTTTTCCAATTCTGACAATGAATCATACAGTTTTACAACAAAGGAAAAGGTTCTTCAGCCTATCATTTCCTCTCTAGCCATCAAGGATGTATCCACTGGTGAACCACATCTCAGCACGGCCCATCGCTGTGTATATCACTTAAAGTTATTATTGAAAGGCTGAAATGTGATTATTCGTACCTCTCCCACTCTCTCGGGCTGTGAATTGAGATGCTCCACCCTCAGGGTAAAATAATTCTTCCTTAAATCTCTTCCAAACCTGTTCTTTACCTTAAATCGATGCCTCCTAGTTATTGATCCCTGATGGGAAATGTTTCTTCCAAAATATGCCCCTCGCAACTTGGCTCACCTCAACAGTTTCCACTCTCAGCCTTTGCAGTCTTACGAAAACAATACGTCCCTATCTAGGAGATAGTAAGAACTGCAGATGCTGGAGTCAGAGATAACGCAGTGTGAAGCTGTAGGAACACAACAGGCCAGGCAGCATCAGAGGAGCAGGAAAGTTGACGTTTCGGATTGGGTCTTTCTGAAAAAGGGTCCCAACCCAAAATGTCAACTTTCCTGCTCCTCTGATGCTGCCTGGCCTGCTGTGTTCCTCCAGCTCCACACTGTGTTATACCACCCTATCTGAGGAAGGGTCACTAGACCCGAAACATTAACTGATTTCTCTTCACAGTTGCTGCCGGACCAGTGAGCTTTCCCAGCAACTTCTGTTTTTATTTCTGATTTACATCATCTGCAGTTCTTTCTGTTTTTATTTAACTAGCCTATCTAGTCTTTCTTCACAGCTGATTCACTCCAGTCCAGGCAGCATCCTGGTGAGTCTCTAGTGCAATCAAAGCCTTTCTGCAATGTGGTAGCCAGAACTGCACACACAACTCCAGCTGGGTCCCACTATTGTTATATACAGCTGCATCATAACATTTAAAAGGCAACTGGATGGGTACATGAATAGGAGAGTTTAGAAGGATATGGGCCAAATGTTAGTGAATAGGACTAGATCAGTTTAGGGATCTTGTTGGCACGGACGAGTTAGTCTAAAGGGTTTTTCCTATGCTATATAACTCTGGCTCTATGACTTTCTGGTCGTATGATTAACAGTCATAGATTGGTTAACCAACACAACATGTGACCTATTGTGTTTGTGCAACTCCAGACAGGGCAGCAAGCTCCACACCATCGTCCCCCTCTCTTTTTCCCTGTAGCCCTGCAACTCTTGCCTCTGAATATGGTTATCCGGTTCTCTAAAGAGAACTACAATTTGCGTTTCAATACAAACAGATATTGCTGAACTAACTCAGCAGGATTGACAGAGTTAATTATTTTAGTTCCAGGAACCCCTCTTCCAAACCGATTGAAGGTAGGATCCACGCTGAGTTTTTGCAGTAATTTCTGTTAGTGTTTCTCATTTCCAGCATCTGCACCTTTTTGGGGTTTTTTTAAATTCTTTTTTCAATATATATTGTCAGTTTTTCTCTGCATTTCCTTTGATTTGCCAGTCACTTTAATTCAGTATTCTCATTCTCAACCCCTCCACCCAGAAGCAAAAATCAGTTATAGAGTCATAGTCGTAGAGTCCTACAGCAACGGAGACAGACCCTTCGGCCCAAACTGGTTCATGCCGACCAAAATGTCCATACATGCTAACACCATTTCCTTGCACTTGGCCCATACTCTTCTAAATTTTTCCTATCCATGTATTCGTTCAAATGCCTTTTAAATTTCGTTAATGTACCCACCTCAACTACTTCCGCTGGCAACTCATTTCATGTGCGTACCAACTTTTGTGTAAAAAACAAATAGCCCCTCAGGTTCCCATTTATTCTTTCCCCTGTTACTTTAAAATGATGTCCTCTAGTCCTCGATTCCCCAACCCTGGGAAAAAGATTGAGCGCATTCACCCTTTCCATGCCTCTCATGACCTTATACACTTCTATAAGATCCCCCCTCTGTCTCCTATGCTCTAAAGAAAACAGTCCTAGCTTGTCCAACCTCTCCCTATAACACAGTACCTTGAGTCCTGGCAACATCTTTGTAAATTTCTCCTGCACTCTTTCCAGGTTAATAACATCCTTCCAATAACAAGGTGACCAAAACGGAAGACAATACTCCAAGTGCGGCCTCACCAATGTCCTGTACAACACTAACGTAACTTCCCAACTTCTGTACTCAAAGCCCTGACTGATGAAGGCCAGTGTGGCAAAAGCCTTCGTCACTGCGCTGTCTACCTGTGACTCCACTTTCAGAGAACCATGCACCTGAGCTCCAAGATCCCTCTGTTCTACGACACACATTAAGGCCCTACCATTCACTGTGAAACTCTTACCTTGATTTGACTTTCCAAAATGCAACACCTCACACATCTATATTAAACTCCTTTTGCTATTTCTTGGCCCACTTCCCCCACTGATCAAAATCCTGCTGCGATTTCTGGTAACCTTCACTGTCCACGATACCGCCTATTTTAGTGACATCTGCAAACTTACTAATCATGCCTTGTACATTCTCATCCAAATCATTGTTATTGATAACAAACAGCAATGGGCCCAGCACTGACCCCTGAGGCACACAACTAGTCACAGGCCTTCAGTCTGACAAGCATCTTTCCACAATTACTCTCTGCTTCCTACCATCAAGTCAATTGTGTATCCAATTTGCCAGCTCCCCCTGGATTCTATACAATCTAACCTTCCAGAGCAGCCAACCATGTGGAAATTTATCAGAGGCCTTACTGAAATCCATCTCGACTACATCTACTGCCCTGTCCTCATCCACCTTCCTGGTCAATTCATCAAAGAGCTCTAAGAAATTTGGGAGGCATGATCTCCCACGCACAAAGCCATGCTGACTACTCCTAATCAAACCCTGTCTTTCCAAATGCACATATATCTTATCCCTCAGAATCTTCTCAAGTAACATACCTACCACAGATGTTAAGCTTACTGCTATATAATTCTATAATTCCCAGCTTTTTCTTTGCAGCCCTTCTTGAATAAGGGCACAACATGGGTCACGTTGTGGACAGTGCGGAGGGCTGTTCTAGGTTACAAAGGGACATTGATAGAATGCAGAGCTGGGCTGAGAAGTGGCAGATGGAGTTTAACCCTGAAAAGTGTGAGGTGATTCATTTTGGAAGGACAAACTTGAAAGCAGAATACAGGATTAACAGAAAGATTCTTGGCAGTGTGGAGAGCAGAGGGATCTTGGGGTTCATGTTCACAGTTCCCTGAGAGCTGCCACCCAGGTGAATAGAGTTGTTAAGAAGGCGTATGGTGTGTTAGCTTTCATTAATAGAGGGATTGAGTTCAAGAGCCGTGAAGTTATGCTCCAGCTATACAAAAGCCTGGTTCGGCCACATCTGGAGTATTGTGTCCAGTTCTGGTCACCTCATTACAGGAAAGATGTGGAAGCGTTAGAAAAGGTGCAGAGGAGATTTACCAGGATGTTGCCTGGAATGGAGGGAAGGTCTTATGAGGAAAGGATGAGAGAGCTACGGAGTTTCTCTTTAGAACAACGAAGGATGAGAGGTGACTTGATAGAGGTGTACAAAATGATCAGAGGTATAGATAGAGTAGACAGTCAGAGACTTTTTCCTAGGGTGAAGGTAGCTTTTACAAGGGGACATAGTTTTAAAGTGAGTAGAGGTAGATATCGGGGAGACGTCAGAGGTAGGTTCTTTACTCAGAGAGTGGTAGGGGCGTGGAATGCATTGGTGGAGAGGGTAGTAGAGTCGGCCTCGTTAGGGGCATTTAAGCGGCTATTAGATAGGCATATGGATGATAGTATAAGGTAGCGGTGGAGGTTAGATAGACCTTAGGTTTAGGGTAAAAGTTCGGCACAACATCGTGGGCCAAAGGGCCTGTACTGTGCTGTACTGTTCTATGTTCTATGTTCTATTTGCTATCCTCCAGTCTTCGGGGACATCACCCGTGGCTGACAATAATGCAAATGTATCAGCCAAGACCTCTGCAATTTCTTCTCTAGCCTCTTGCAGGGTTCTTGGATATATCTGGTCAGGCTCAGGAGATTTATCCAACTTCATACGTTCTAATACTTCCAGCACCTCCTCTACTGAGATATAGACTGCCCCCAAGATATCACCACTAACGTCCCCAAGTTCCCAAGTCTTCATGTCTTTCTCCATAGTAAACACAGAGAAATATTTATTGAGGATCTCGCCTATCTCCTGCAGTTCCACACATACATAATCACTTTGGTCCTTGAAGGATCCTAGTCTCTCTCCAGTTATTCTTTTTTCTTTAATATACTTAATGGATCTTTTTGGATTCACCCTAATCTTCTCAACCCCGATCTCATGTCCCCTTTTCACCCTCCTGATATCCTTCTTCAGTAAACTCCCGTATCCCCTATATACCAGCGGGGATTCCCTTGATTCCAGCTGCCTGTACCTGAGCGATGCCTCCTTCTTTTTTCTGGTCAACACTTCAATATCTCTTGTCATCTAGGGTTTCCTACTCCTGCCAACCTTGTCCTTCACCCTCATGGGAACATATAGACTTTGAACTCGAGCTATCACTTTTAAAGGCCTCCCACTTGCCAGAGGTCCCTTTGTCTGCAAACAGACTACTCTAATCAACCCAATCAGAAGGCGGTAGAGACGTCACCGGGAGAAATTCTAGGAGACAGCACTGCAGTCAACGTGACCAGTCTGAATATCTCGGAGGAAAGGGTCAAGGAAGAGGTCCTGCGA